ATTATCAACGGTAGACGAGCACAGGAGAGTGGCGATAAACGTAAGAAATTGTTGCTCGATAAGAAACTCGCGAAGTAACGTGTAGGACAGGTTCGTTTCTGTCGATTTAATCAAGGGGAACCAATATCGTGTCCCGATTGTACAGATTCTCGTTTACCTGCTGAAAAAAAATCAAAGTATCCCAGAATACGTCTCGAAATTAACTAAGATTAATTTTCTCGACAATTCCTTATCCGATAGAGAAATTTTCTGGAAAAGAAAATAGTTTGATTATTCCAATATTTACGTACAAATTTTGTTGTAAGCGAGCAAAGACGGAAAAGGAAATTTAATCGTTCCTTTCTTATTATTTTAATTATTCAATACTCGAATAATCCACAATTTCATTCCATCGTTCTTACCACGTATATTCAAATTATCTTTAATAACACTAATCGGCCAATTAAACGATTCTATAATTAAATTAATTAATCGATTCCACGATCAAACCTCGATATTCACAACCTCGTCGTGTACAACCGTGTCTCGTATCCACATCGGGCACAAAATTGCCCGCCGTATCCTCGAGGATGGCTCGTATTATTCAACCGATACGCCTGCCAGGTATCGAAACGGACCGCCGCCGGAGGAAAATTTATTCCAATGCCATCGATATTGACCCGAGCCAACTCCCTCCGCCCTGGAAAAGAGAATTAGAAAATCGTTTTACGAAAGCTATCCTTCTCTCTCTCTCGCCTTTTCTCTCCTCTCTCTCTCTCGCCTTTTCTCTCCTCTCTCTCTCTCGCCTTTTCTCTCCTCTCTCTCTCTCGCCTTTTCTCTCCTCTCTCTTTCTCTCTCCTCTCTCTTTCTCTCTCCTCTCTCTTTCTCTCTCGCCTTTTCTCTCCTCTCTCTTTCTCTCTCGACTTCGAAGGCGCGGCACGTTGACACGAGATATTGCTCAAAGACGTGGATAATCAACGCGAGTTTCGTCACGAGCTGAACGAGTTTTCCGCGGAATAGGTGTCGTCGATTCAAGGAACGAGACACGTTCACGGATGAGTAAAATGTAAAACGTCGGCCGAAGGAGGGGGTAGGGGGGGGGGGGAGGGGAGGAATCGTGGGATGCGATTTATCGAATCGTTCCCTGCAAGAGATTTCGTAATCTCTTTAGCAAGGTGTGCGGTGATAAGTGTATTTAGACTGGATGAAAGGTGGTTTGATATCTTAATGCTCACTCGATTCGATCTCGTGGGAAAAGCGGGATAAAAGTGTTAGGTAAACGTAGGTGTCCTTCTGGTGTAATTTATACATCCGTGGTTGGTTGATCGGCTCTTGGAAAAAGATAGGAATCCTACGTGGATCGATCGAATTATTTTTCTTCTTTCGAGAAAGAATAATTTATAATCTCGTTTTTGCGCGACATTTTACTTAAATTTTGTAAAAAGTTGCATCGAGGATATTGCAAGAAGATCAATGCGAAACAGGAACGAATTATTGCAGTCGATAATTGGTTTTTCTCTTTTCGATCAACTAATAATATTAAGAAATATTAAGAAATAGTAATACAGATTCACGAGCCATGAGATTTCATCGGTCTCAAGAATTTTCAATCTCTCGAGAGAAAGAGAGTGTTCGGTTTCGGTGCAATTGACAAGCAATCGATGGTGCCGTCGAAACGTCTTCAAACAATTTGAAATTTCTCTATCGTGGATAGAGAAGTTGGGCAAACAAATCGTATATTTACAATACGGACGGAAAACGTATTCATCCTTGGCATTTCTCATATGCGGAAGTGGATTATTCCTTGGAGAAGCAGGATCTAAAAATCGACGAGATGAAAGTTTCTTGCTCTTTCCTCTCGAAACCTCATAGTCGACCTCACCAAAACTCCATTTCCGCGACTTTGGAGAATTTTCCACGAGAAAATTTCTTTTTCTTCTTCCGATTATTTATCTCGGCTACCGAATCACGTAAACTTACGCGAGGCTACACTTATTTCTATTCTATTTCTAGTAATAAAATGCGTAGAGATCTGCGAAAAACTGAACAGTAAAATAAAAAGAAGTCTTATTCTCTTTCCTTCCCTCTCAACTCTTAATTAAATCTTCGCTTCGTAACGTAACAAAGATCGTTGCATCCATTCTCGTCCAGGGAACATACAAATGGACTCTTTGATTTTTAATGAAGGATCGCATATTAATAAAGGCCATTGTACTCCATATTCATTCAGAAGACGTACGAATGAAACTTTACACTCTTAGTCAAGGATCATATTGCACAGGAGTCAAAGATCTTTACGCTTTATTGCAGAGGGGACATACGAACGACCCTTAAGAATCGCACTGCATAGTAATAGAGGTCATTGCATCCATACTTATTCAAAGGATTCTCTAGTTAAGGATCATACTGTATAATGAAATGGATCCTTAAATTCTTCATGTTGTCACGTTGCATAGTAAAGATCATCGATCATTCATATCCATCCATATATAAGTACAAATCCTGATGGTTACAGAATAATTTTTCCAATTATCAATCCACGTTTTCCACGAAACGTGGCGGCAACTTTCCTTCTCGACCATCCAAAAATCTGAAAAAAAGTAATAATAATAATTCGACGACGCTCTCGATGAATTTCTAATCGATGAAAAAAGAAAGAAAAAAGAATCTACCCCCCCAAGGATGGCGCATAAATCGAGAAATTCCACACTTGGGGGCTTGTAGGTACGTATTAATGCTCACCCGCTCTTGTAACTTGCCTCGTTAACCGTGCGCCAGGGATAATCGCCGCGTGGGTTAAGGCAATTTCCTCGGTAATTAATAACACGACGTCCCCTATTTGTTGTGTCAGCGGCAAATTACGTGATTTAGGTGGTGGTCGCGCGTCTGTGTGCACGATGCATAATAGAAGTCTGTTCGAGTCTGACCACTTCTCGTCGAGACTTTGATTCGTAATGAGAGGGATCTGGACAGATCGTGATTGCGCCTCATTGTAATTCGAGCGTGACCATCATCCCCCTTACCCACCGCCGGACGAGACGTTCTTGTTTCTTGTAAAACACCCGTGATTACACGCCCGTCACGGCGGGAAATACGGTGATTATACGGTGGACGCGGCCTTTTTAACATAGCGATGTATGATTAAGGTAAACGCGGCACTGATACGGAATACCTATTATAGCGTACGAGGGGGGTAATTATGGAAAATTTCTAATAGGCATGATGCCTCTCTTTTCGATTGAATATTAACGACCGACGATTTTAAAGAAAAGTGAATATTATCGGTGTAAAAGAAACTTGGATCACAGGTTGATGAATTAAATTGATTGATAGATTGGAATAATACGAATAATACGCGTGTCTTGTGAATGGATTGAAATATTTATAAGCGCTGGAACGAGTGAATTTGGAAAAGACAGCGAGAGAGATTTATGTAGGATACACTCAATTTTTTTTTTGAATGACAGTTTCAAATTTATTCTGGCACGCGAGGAAGGGACGGGAAATCGTTATGGGTAGTTAACGAAATCGGTGCTCGTTATTAATTCACGAACAACCGAACAATCAGTCCTTGCTCCAGGCCAACCTTTGACGATTTTTTTATTCCACCGTCTTCAGTTTTATCGGTCGGAATTTTATTCCATTCCCTGCTCCTTTTTATTTTCCTCGTCCCAATTTCCAGGAGGTGGAAGGCCTTAACTCGAGTATAAAGGGGATGTATTTTAAATTTGCCGCGTTAAAGGAAACCTTTTAATTATTCGAAAGAGACGAGAAAGGGTGGGATATTCCAATTCCCCTCTTTCGTTTTTCTTTCTCTTTTCTTTTCTTTTTTTTTCCCTATGTTTCATTTCTTTCAATTCGAGACGAGAATTTTCAAGTTTCACATCTGCAAACGCTGCAATCCCGATTTCTCTCCTTTTGTTTCGCCAAGCGAGATCCAGAGTCCTTCGATCACGTCCCTGTTATTAAAAAGTTTCTCCCTTAGGTTCAACTTCTTTCGAGAAAGTTGGTCCGCCGAAATAACGAAGTCAGGAGATCCTGCATTCGAATTAATAATCGAGGGTCGAACAAATCGCTGTTTTATTTAAAATGTCCCGCCCGCTGATTTGTTCAACATTTCCCTCCGTTGCGCCGTTAATTGCGGTGCACAATGGGTCCGAGCACACCCACAACTCGTGGAATTATTCCTGCGAATGGCGCGAAACGCGGCAAAGAATTATATTTGCTTGAATGGAGGTTAATCGCGCCCGTTTCCCTTTTTGCCCTTTGACTGCGCGGTTGATACCGTTGTAAATTTTCAGGGTATCGAGTAGAGTGGTTCTCCAGATGAAAAATTTCCACGAAATTTCGTCGTTTCGAGTCGAGAATGATTTTGGGAGGCGATGTGTTTCTTTATTTGATATTTTACTTTTAAATGTTGTTTTGCTTGACCTTTATTAATAATCTCTGTTGGTTTCTTTGAAAGAAAGCTTGGAAATTAAAATTAGCATAGGATGATAACAGTAAATATTTAATTTTTAATATATATATATTTTTTAAAATAATATTTTTATTCTCAAATATATTTGTTTTCTTAATTTTTTATCAGTCATTTTGCAATCAAATTATATCGTTCAAGAAACACAAAATTTATCCTTCGAACATTTAATCAATTCTATTTAAACAAAGAATCGATACGATTGCAATTTTTAAAAGACTGCTGATCAAATTGAATCCGATACGTTCATGTGCATCGAATCTCTCGTATCGATACGATTTTCGATCACGTAATGAATTGTGACGGAATATAAAAGCCGTTGATAAATCGCGTCGATTACGAAGAGATTGAGAAGAGAGAAGAAACGAGGTTTTTCTATCAGATGCTCCATTCAATTTTTGATCAAAGTCCCTTCTTCAATTAGTTCGTAACGAAACGTTATATTGCGTAAACGATAATGATCCATTTTTGACTCGAGATTAATCGAATATCCTTTTCAACCTTTATTACATTATAATTAATATATATATATTTCTTTTTTCAGAGAATATTTCAAAAGAGGAATAATGTATAAACGACGTGGTAACAGAGAATATTCGAGACGAAGAATAATGTAAAAGCGTCATCAATTAGGTATGTAAAAATAATTTTCAATGGTGGATAAAAACGAGAGTACATCTCTACGGCTTCGTTTAAGCCGTTTAGTAAGGGATAACGGAATTTCCATTTATATAAAATTCGTCTTCCACGTCTTTTTGTCGATCTTATCTTCCCCAAAACGCTTAATTAGAAAATTCATTCAAGCGTCGAGCGTTGACAGAGTAGAGAATGCTCAATGGAGACGGCTAATTAATGTCACTCTTAAAATCTCCTCGAACGAATCGCGTTGATAAGCCTCGTCGATGTGCATAAATATCCTTTGCACAAAAAAAAAAATCACATCTATATGGAGCTACATTTTATCCAAAAAATTTGAATCGTTATATTTTCACTCCAACCTCTCTATCCTCATTAACGCCAACCAACCAATTAATAATAATATCTGTCTCGTTGTCTAAAGTGTTAACAGCGTCGAGCATGTTAAAAATATTCGAACGTAAAATACTTGAACAACAACGCGGTTTTCGCAAATAATCGTGTGTCGTTTCGCGTACATCATTCACGGATCCTTGTTCGCAAACAAAATCCGATTTGCATAATACACGTGGCCGCAGGATTTGCATGAGACACGCGATATCCGCGTTGGTCGGTTTTGTAAGAAGAATCGCGCAAAGAGGTGGAGAGGAGAGGGAGGGAGGGATTTTAAATTCACCAAGATTTAGAGGCGATCAACAAATCGACGTTGGTTATCCGGCGAAACGAATGTCACGCCTGTTGGCGATTCTAGGATAAGGATCGATCCTTGCTAATTAAATGGTATGCTAGGATGGTCGTCGAGATCGAGCAAGAGATTGTTTATCTAGTATCGCGAATGTCTTTGGTAATTGGAAGTAGATGGTCGGTTTTATTTGTGCATTTACAAATCTGGGAGATTGTGAAGGGGTTTGTCGAAATTGGGATTTTATGTGTCATGTGTTTAACTTGATCGAGTAATGAATGATTTATATATAATTCATATATAATTCATGCATCGATTGGTAGTGAATTGATTGTAATAAAAATAAAAGTTCGAAAGGGAAATATAAGATTGAGGAATATATTTGGAAGTAAAATTCTCGAAACTCTATTTTTGTTAGTTAAGCAGTGCATCGAGGTTATTATAGAATAGTCACTTTTAGAATGGAAAATAACTCTCTCTAAAATTTATTATCTGTTAAACATAAGATCTAATAAAAAAAATTTCATTATATTTATGATATATGTAATATATTATATAATGACAATAATTAAAATGGAATTAAATATTAGACAAGATAAAATGATCTATTTCATTATTGGCTATATTGGTCCGGGTCTCGGAGTATACGTATGATTTAACGGGTCAAATATGCCTGTAACATACTAGATAATGGAGCCATTAAAATATCAACGTTAATTATTCGAAAGGATAGCTCCATTATGTTAAATTGAACACATTGTTGATTGCTTCTAAAAGAAAAGTTGCGTCGTTCAAGTGGTTAAAATTTACTTATACCGGAAGTTAAAATTACTATTTTGACAGAATACATTTTTATTTTGCTTCAATTATATTTCCTATCGATTCATCAACATTTCAAGTTAAGAAAAAAGAAAAAAAAAAAATAACATTGCTAGAATTATACGTGAAATAAAACTCCAATCTTATCAAAAATTATATCACATATCGTACGCGTAGAATTTTGTTCCATTCCATTTTCGAATTAATCGTAAATAACTGCTACAATATAATGCATTGAACGTTGCATAAAATAGATACAAATTCTCTCTCCCATCCAAGCGATTATTTCGTAAACGGTATCGTTGCGATATCACCCCATCAAACCTTGTCAATATTTAACCACGTTTGATTGCGATGAACTGTCGTTTAAACCTCGATACAACGTAACCTCTTGTATATTATTAACATTAAATCGAGTCGATGGTAACGGGTGTAAACCTGTATTTTCGGTTAATAACGGAAAAATCGTTCGTGCGATTAATTTATTCTCCGTTGTTTATGAGTGAAACGCACGCTTTTCCTCTCCGCTTTTCCCGTGATTTTTTTTTTTTTTTTTTTATCCTTTATACCTCCACCACTTGTAAGCCGTTGTCGCAGTTAATTCGTCCCTGTTCACGGCGACAAACGGCGCAGCTGAATTATTTCTACCCTGCCGATATTCCGCCTCGTCGTTTCCGCCTGCCCTCTCGAAACACGGCGATCGATGCGCGCCGTGCAATTAAAACGCTTTCGTTTCCCCCTCGTTTATGACTAAACGGCCTATGTTTAATATTCTGGGATCGGTAAGGTATTAAATCTTGATTAGATGGACCATGAACATTATTGTTTAACGAGGGATGGAAAATTGAGCAAGTTTCAGGGGTTGAAGTGACGTTTTTGATCAGTGAATGGTTTCTCGAGCAGTTTGCTTTGCGTTTATTCGTTTGTGGTATATTTTGTGAATGAATGAAAAATTTTGGTCAAATGGTTAAATAAGTAAACGTATTGTTTTAATGAGTCGCGATGGAAAATTAAGAAAGAAGAAGTTCAGGAAATTATTCATTGAAGACAGCTAGTGAATAACGTTTAAGTTTAAGGAGAAATATTATTTGGAGTATGTGTAGATAATTATTTGTTCTATAATTTTTAGATTTATGGATTTATATGACATGATGTATCACAAAATTTTGAATAGTGTTTGTTAGAGGAGGAACCTCTTAGTTAGAATCCCTTAGCTTGCAACTATTTAAGGGTGACAAAATAAGATAGATTGCGCTGTCAGCTTTTAATTAATTCATACACATTCATAATCTATAACGTACAATACAGTAAGGTTGTTAATGGAATTAGAGTGTTCTTAACGTCTTCTTGGAATTGTACGTACGTATATCTATCTTGTTTAGCAAAAAGAAAATGAAAATAAATGATAAAAACATATCTCTTCGCTAATGTTTTGGTTTCAATCTTTTTTCGATGTTTCTATTCGTGCCTCGATTCTGTCTTCGTTGTCAACAAATCATGAGTCACAAGAAAATCTCATCGCATGTACGCGCTACGTAGAACTAGTTCTGCGCAGGAATTGACCATGGTTGCGTGCTTCCAATATTCTCGTCAGAATTCTCTTTTTGGAACGAAAACGTGTCCCAGTTCTGGTGTTGTAAAAGAGCGAGAAATTTCTTTGGAGAAGAAAAGATTTGGAATTCGAACATCTGTGATCTTCCAGTAAGTATTTTCGATCAACGGTTTCAACTTTTCCACCAAATTCTTCTTCCCTCTTTCATGTGTAATAGCTTTTCTTTTTCTACGAAGTCTGAAATCTTTTACTTTTAATCTTTACTTTATGTTTTATTTCATTTTAGTTTATTTTTGTATTCTATATTTCACATTTGTATTTCATATTTCGAAATATTTTTCGATTTTTATAATCTCGTAACGATGGAGAGAATGACGAATGAAATGTTTGAACGGAGAGGGATTTTTAATACGGAGGGATTATTCTGGAATTTACACGCGATACTCTTTTGAGAAATAATTTTTTTGCCTCCTTATGCGTGCTTTTTATTCCTCTTGGTTTATTCCAAACGAGTTTCTTTTAATCTATCAAGGCTTTGAATTAGTTGATTACGTTGCGCGACTTGTGAAGATTTATATTTCATCTTTTGAAGGCTCATTCATTCATTCATTCAAGTGCGTTATTCACTTTCATTTATTTCGTTTTCTCTTAAAAAAATATATATATTCTATTTTCTATTAAAATATGGAAAAGAATTAGAAACCATGTCTTTAATTTGATTATACGTGACGAAAAAAGTCAAGATTTCTTCTTTTCACAAATCATCCCTAAATTACACAATAACAGGTAAATTTTTATCGCGAAATTTCCAAGATTTCTTCTCACAAAGAATTTTAATAATTCCTCATTGAAATTCTAAAAAAAAAAAATTTCTCCTTCGAAATATCGAGCACACGATAATGAAGGTAAATTTTCAGCCATGTTTAGCATTAATTTCAACACGATCGATCTTGGACGAGACGTTGGACGATAAAATCCAATAAAACCCATATTGGCGTAATTTACGCGAAATCGGGTGAATGGTGCGGAAACACGCTTGGCTCGCGTGTCCCCTCGTCATCTCCTCGTGATTTCCATCCCCCACGATCTCGTTATTTCGAGCAATGGAAGGGTGCAAGAGATCCCCGCCATTAAAAACCACCTATCCGTTGTACAAATTTTCATCATTGCACATTTTCATTCACTCGAATTTCTTCCATTTTCGTGAAATTATTAACGTGAAATTAATGAAATTATTATCTACGTTCCGTTTTATAATATTAGAAAAATGACGGATTCGTTTCGAAGAGGTCGCGTATATTTTTTGATAAGAAAATTTGCGATTCGAATTCATTTCAGAAGGGAAGCAGCTTCGTTTCATTGTTCATTCACCATCGAGAAAATTTTAATTGGCTGTGTTGCGAATTTGCGAATTCGAGTAATGTGTTTCGCAGAAACTCTATTTCGGAAATTTTGCTTAATGCAATTTGAATGTCAGTAGATTTACGAGTGAAGTGTATGGTGCATTTTCTGAATATTATGCAGAATTTTGCGGAATCGAGACTGGTTTGTTTCGTATGCTTATGCGTGGCATATAATGTTACAATAATTGCATTATGAATTTCTATGCAATATTTTATTTTATAATATATATATATATATTTATTAACATTATTGGAATTATTATTGGTTATTTATTAAGTAAATTTCAATCACTAAATATAAAAACGTTATTTTATATTTAATTTTTAATATTTCGATTTTGAATATTTGAAAAAATTATTTATTTATACGAATATTTCAATGTTCATCTTCGAGACACGCCTCTAGCTTGTATAACTCCTTGTATAACTTAGCTTACCGTTATAATTATAATTTATTTGCAGCACGCCAACTAAGAAAATCGAGATTTTTCCTTCTTGGAGGACACCGTCATGCAATTTGCATCTTCAATTATAATAAAAA